AAAGCTTCAGATAAGCATCGGGTGAAGCAGACGGGAAGTTGTCGCTCGCCGCTGCGGCGCCTCGTTGAACTTGAATAAAAACGACCTCCTCAGCGTTTTCATTTTCCACATGTGGAGGAGCTGGAGGGTTTCACAGCAGAGTCAACAACCACCTGGCCCGCTTCAGCTCATCACTTTTCAATTCTGGTTAACTTTATTTATAAAGCACCAAATTTACAACATAAATCTGTGTCGATAAGTCGGAAAGTGGTGACCGATTTAAAGAAAAAAAGAAGAAATATGATAAAATTTTAACTGCAGTCGTCTCTGGTGTCAGGTTTGTCCTCGAGGAGAGCGGGCCAACATCCAGAAGGTTTGTGAGCGCTGCACCGAGTCGCCCGAGCTGTACGACTGGCTCTACCTGGGCTTCATGGCCATGCTGCCGCTGGTTCTGCACTGGTTCTTCATCGAGTGGTACTCTGGGAAGAAGAGGTGAGGCTCACAAACAGGTTCTGTTTCAGTCAGGAACTCGTTCAGACTACCACTCATCTGTCTGAACAGAATCCTGCAGAATCGGGTCGATGAAGAGATTCTTTTTGGGGGGGTTTATGTGAGACTTTGTTTTTTTTTTCTGATTCTTCCGGGTCAGAAAGACTGCATTCAGTTGGCTAAGTTCAGGTCCGGTTTCAGGGTGTGTTTGAGTCTAGTTTTTCCAGTTTTTTCCTGGGTTCAGAACTTCAGTTGCAGTTTTTGTGAGGTTCAGCTCCAGTTAACGTCAAGTTCAGGTCCAGGATTGTTCTGGGTTCTGGTCCAGTTAATTTGTTCCTTCAGTTTCAGGTTTTGTTTAATTCAGATCCGGCGTCTGGCTGTTTTCAGGTCTAGTTCCTGTAAAGTTTAGGTCCAGGTCCTGGTCTGGTTCTGCTGTCATGTCACCCCACCATACATGCTGGTGGAGAGCGACTGACGCTTGACGGTTCTGAAGGAGTTTTTTTGCTGAAGAACCCTGGATCTGGTTCCAGCTCGTTGGTTTGTGTGTCTCTCTCTCTGGAGGTTCTGATCCGTCAGTTTGGACGTTTTCTTGGATCTTCTTTGTGTTGAAGCTGAACCCAGTCAGGTTCTGGTAGATCAGAGCTGCAGGTGGTCTGCTGACAGACAGGACAGGACAGCTCAGTCCGACCCGTTTGTCTCATTCTGAAGGATTCCTTCAGACATAAAACCAACTGAGTGTGTTTTTAAGATGAATTTGTCCAGTCGGTTCTGGAAACTTCCTCTGTGCATTTGCAGCTCCAGCGCGCTGCTGCAGCACGTCACCGCCATGTTGGAGTGCAGCGTGTCGGCCGTGGTCACTCTGCTGCTCACGGACCCGATGTGGAAACTCAGCATCCGGTCCTGTCGGGTCAAGGAGCTGTCCGACTGGTACACCATGCTGTACAACCCGAGCCCGGACTACATCAACACGCTGCACTGCACACAGGAGGCCGTGTACCCGCTGTGAGTACACACTAAACACACACAACTACATCCTGCTTCGGTACGATGTGAAGCAACTGAAGCAGCACAGGGATTGAAAGTCATCAAACCTTTCAGAGGAGGTAGTCACAGAACGGAGTGTGTAAAATGGTGGGTGGAGCCTACAGTGCTCACTGTAGGTTTTCTTATCTTAATCCAACTGGGAGTTGTGCTGTCGTGTTGTCTGTCAGCTACACCATCGTGTTGATCTACTACGCCTTCTGCCTGGTGTTGATGATGATGTTCCGGCCCCTGCTGGTGAAGAGGATCGCGTGCGGCCTTGGGAAATCGGACCGCTTCAGGAGCATCTACGCCGCTCTCTACTTCTTCCCCATCGTCACCGTGCTGCAGGCCGTCGGTGGCGGCCTTCTTTGTGAGTCTGCGCTTCACCGTCAAACAAGAACAACACGTGTGCTTTCTAACACGTGCGCTCTGTTTGTTTCAGACTACGCCTTCCCCTACATCATACTGGTCCTGTCACTCATCACTCTGGCCGTCTACATGTCTGCCTCGGAGATTCAGGTAAACGCACACCTGAGCGTGTTGGAAAGGATCAGCTGGGAGGTCTGTCAAAATGTCAAATCAGTTCTTTAAAATGAATCGTTCAAGAGTCCCGCCCACAAAACTAAGCTAACCGCTGATTGGTCAGGTTGCAGCGTCATGTGACACTTGATAAATTTAATTATTATTAAAGTTTATAGTTTGTCTTTAAAATTCCGAAGAGTAAATTCTGAGTCAGCATCCACGCAGTTTTTGTTTCTTTTGTTTCATATTTCAAATGTTTGAACGTCGAAATGTTCGGTCCGTTCAGGAGATGGGTGCTGGGATTTTTGTAACTTATTCTTTTCAAAATATTTATCTTTATTTACAAATATTTTTCCTATAGAAATACATTGTTTCTTACATTCCTTTAAGCACTATTCTCTTATATGTCTGCTTCAGCTGCTGGTTGTGCTTTTAGTTACCATTCTGCTATTTTTAGACAACCTTTTACTTTTTAGCTTCTAGCTAGCATTTTTATACTTCTAGCAACCAGACTGCTTTTAGTCTTAAGGTAGCCTTTTGCAGTTTTTAGTAATTTGTTTCTGCCTTTAGTTTCTGTAAATTTACAATTTGTAGCTGGTATTTAAAAATATTGATCTTTCCTTTTGTTATTTTTGTTACTGTTGCTCTTGTATCAGCACAAGCTGCTTTTAGCTAGAATTTTCCTTGTTTAGCTTTTAGCTAGCATTTTGCTACTTTTTGGTAACTAGCATTTTGCTGCTTTTAGCTAATATTATGCTGCCTTTATTTTTTAGCTAACATTTAGCTACTTGTACCTTTCGCTGCTTTGTTTCTAGCTACTGCTTTGCTACTTATAGCTAGCTTTTTGCTACTTGCAGCTAACATTTTGTTTTTATTTAGCGTTCTGCATCGTTTAGTTTTTAGCTGTTTTGCTCCTGTTAAGTAACATTTAGTTACTCGTAGATTTCATTAAACTTCAGCCCTGAACATTTGTTTGTTTGTTTCTGAACCCAACTATAATCACGTCCTTCGGCTCGTTCTCCTCTTCCTCTCAGTCCTTTAAGACTCTGGTGGTGAAGAAGAAGCGCCTGGTGGTTCTGCTCAGCCATTGGCTGCTTCACGGCTACGGCATCATCTCCATCTCCCTGCTGGACAAGCTGGAGCTGTCGCTGCCGCTGCTCGCTCTGGTACCGGGACCGACCCTGTTCTACATCGCCACGGCCAAGTTCACCAAGCCGAGCCGCATCCTGTCCGAGGGCGGCAGCGGGCACTGAGCGCCACGGGCCGAGGAGGAAGAGGAGCGGATCTTCACCGTCCATCTGCCAGTTTGACTCATTTAATGTTTTCAACACATATGGAAGCGTGATGGTTCCATCCTGGTTCCTTGAGCGTGTATTTTAGCTGTTTTACTGGTTCTGTTCAACCTGCTGTCGAGGTTTGCTGCTACTCTTCCGTTTGTAAATATGGTTGTTTGTTGATAACGTGTTCATTGGCTACAAATAAACGCTTCACATCTCAAAAGTAAAGCCATTTTTTTTGCTTGTGTGTCTGCGTTTGACGTGCCGTTCAAGATGGCCACCACAGCCAAGTCTCCAAACAAAACAGCTGCAGCTCAGCCAACTTTGTGAATGCAGAGCTAAATTTCAGCATGGTAGTAGCCGAGTGGCATCCAGCACACGAGGAGCTAGATTTTTGAATATTTGATGTGCAAGGTGGGTGACCATTTCATTTGATTCAAATCATTTTCTTTGCTGTTTTCAAAGCAACAAACTTTAATTCTTGATTAATTTTTAGTTTTTAATTGAAACTTTTCCCCACTTGTGTCTTTCAGATCAGTTTTACTTTATAAATGACCTCAGCTTTTCTCTCAACACGACTGAATAAATTCAACTCTTTGACATGATTTGCAGTTTATTGTCAAACATTAAAAAAAAAACCACTCATGATTCAGAACTCTTTGGATCGAGGCGGTTCGATGAAGTGAAAACGGAGCTGCAGCTCTGAAAGAGGCGGATTTGAGAATTTTAAGATATGTTTCTGAAACACTGAATCTTTTCATTTATGAATAATCAAAGAGAAAAACCTGTTGATGGAGCTTCGTGAGTCTAAGGATGAGGTTTGGGTCGGTATTTGTTCTCCAGCAGAACATCTTGGATCATTTCCATACCAGGCCCAAATGTTGGCGTTTTAGACTTCAGTCTTTGGAGTTCTGACAGAAACGACTGAATCTGCACAGTCGCTGCGAGAAAAAAAAAAAATCTAATCACGATGATCAGATTTTTAAAGTGCGGCAGCAGATGTGTAAAGTATAAGTGCTGTCGCTGACCTGGTCCGATGTCGTTAAAACTGTAAATAAATACTGTAGGTGTCCGATTTTTATAGATTAGTGGAAAAATACTTCTGCTCAGGTTTAAACTGAAACATTTTGGCATAAATTCAAACCGAAATTGAGCTGAACTTATTTTTATAAACTGAAAAAAGCTACTGGACTTTTATTCTGTAGTTGGAGACATTTCGCTTCACATCCAAGGAGCTTTAGTTCGAAACGGTGTGGAGTCCAGTTGTTAAACTGGAACGGACGCTCCTTCTCTGCAGATTAATTTCACCCCCTCCCTCCAGAGGGTCATCAGGGCTCGCAAACCAGTCGTCTGCAAGTGTTGCCATGCAGGTAACCAAAACATCTCGCTTGTAAACCGGGCAAACAAAGACCCAATGACCCTCAGGAGGGAGGAGAGATTAATCTGATGTGCATTCAGCTGCAGGAGCAGAGCACCTCATGCACTTTAGATCCTGATCACCAACAAGAACTTTGTGGGAAAATCAAGTTCCATCAGACTATCTTTAAAAAGAACTGAAAGGTTTTCATCAAACGAGCCCTCAGCGCCACAGCTGGACCACCCTGAGCGGAAACATCTGCCACAAAGTTCAAAGCCACAGCAGATTAAAAACCAGGATTAGCATAAAAACAGGTGAGCGGTACAGAATCCGGCAGGTCCGCTCACTGACTATCACTTCTGGATATAAATGATGATGATGCACAGAGTTCCCACCAGTCCCAGAGCCTGGAACCCCAGGAACCAGAGCAGCAGCCAGAAGATGAGGATCACCACAGGTTCCACTGTTCTGTCTCCAAAGTACATCTGGCTGAAGCCCAAACCGATCAGACACTTGTTGATCATCCCAAACAGAGTCCCCATCCGCTCGCAGTCGTCCAGCTCCGGCTCTGTGACGGCCTCATGGTCGACCTGCTGGTCGTCGGTGGGGGGTCGTGGTCGGATCCGGTTGGCATCACCGGGGTGTAGCGGTTGGGTCCAATTGGCATCAACCTGTGAAGACAAACGTGAGATCAAAGTTTTCTGATTCATGTAAACAATCAGAGTTAAAGGAACATCTGAGGGAGAGATCCAGTTATTTGACCCCAAATCGATCACTTTTCAAACCTCGGCCGTGTCAATCAAATGTCAAGTAGGAACTCTTCTGTGTGGTTTGGACTCCGTCAGAGCTGTCCTGTCTCTGGTGCAGTCGTGAAGGAGGGTTTGGGACCCTCAGAGTCCAGTCTGCTTTATGCGCATGGTTCTGCGGCGTCTTCAGGCCATGACCTTCATGCACTGTGGCGGTTTGCAGCCGAGTGTGAAGCGGCTGGAATGAGAGCTCCTAGGAAATGGATCAAGTGGGGGAGAAGTGTTTTCCTCATGTGGAGGAGTTCAGGTATCTGAGTGATGGTAGGATGGAGTGGGAGATGGATCAGGACCTAATGAAGGACTTGCTTCAGTCAGTTGTAGACAGAGTTGAGTGAGTCTAAAAGGTAAAGCTCTGGATTTACTGGTCCGTCTACGTTCCAACCCTCACCAGACCTCAGGGCTGAACATGAACTCGCAGGAGGGTTTATAAATCCTCTCTGGTCTGAGAACACCAGGAGGACCTGGACAGTGTTAATGAGGAAAGGAAGGTCTGGGTTTGTCTCCTGGACCTGTTGCCTCCTCGACCCGACTACGAAAAAGTGGTAGAAGATGGAGAAACGGCAACAATGCTCATCTAAAGATGATTGTTTTGTATTTTTTGTGTGCGTACAAGTTCTTCTAGGGGTTGGAACCGTTTTTTACATTTTATTTATATTATGCAATTATTGTTATTTTGTTAAATAAAAAATACAAATTGATCTCAACCCTCCTGCTGCTCTTGTGTCTAAATGACCTACAAGACCTCACTTTTAAAACGGAGCTCTCGTGGGTCATTTTAGACTTTTTACCTGCTGCCCTGTTTTCATTTTAAAATGTCACCATTAGTCAGAGTTTCTTTCTCGTTCGCACCACATGTGGTACATGTGGTGGGATGAGATTATGTACACAGGGTCCCAGTTACATCCAACATAGAATCTTGTAGTTATGACTTTACATTCTAAGTCTTTATTTTGAGATAAATCTAAAAAAAAAAAAATATGACTTGGAATGTATTTTTTCTTCAAAATGGCAAAAACTGGATTTCAACTGGACAATGAAGTTCAGAAAGTTCCCATTAGGACAAATATTTAAATAAATAATACTTAATGGGAGTTAATAACAAAAAAAGTAAAAACTGTGAACCCTAATTAAACAGACTGATCCACAGGTTATTAATTAAACAGAGGGATCCAGTTTATTGATTAGAAACCAGGTGCGTCTACAGAAACAGGCTGCACTTGTTCTCAGCAGAAATACCAGGAAATGCCCTGGCTGCGTCCCATTCAGCCCAGCTCCAGCTGCTGTTCATGTTGGATTACAAGCTCAGTTTACTGAAACACTAAATGGAACTCAGCCATCAAGATAGGACAAAACTTCCTGGTTTTCCTTCCTCACTGATTCACCTGCAGATAAAAACTACCACTCTGCGTTCAAGTTTCTTTGTCAGTCGCATCACATGTGCTACATGAAGTGGAACGAAATTGTGTACTCAAGGTCACAGTTACACCCAAAAATAGCAAAAATATAAAAAAAAATACTGTGTAAGGATCAATATATACACTATGCGCTAAACGAAAGCTAAAACAGCGTGACCTGTACCTGATAATAATCACATTACTACTGATTTATCGGGATTGATTTTGATGCCGAAAAGAACTCAGAATATTGAAGGTTCCTTATCTTAATTGGTTCCGTTCTAGTGGGATCCGGACCCCCCCCCCACTTTAAACTTAAAACTTAAATTAGCAAAAATTTTGACGGAGTTCGGTAGATGCGTTACAGCTCAATTTTCAGCCGAACAAGCTCCAAATGCCAAAAAATTATGAATATTTTCGCCTATTCTGTTTCCGCTCTCACAGCAGAACTGCTCGGTGGTTCTGATCCGACCTGATGCCCTTAATAAGACCTTAATAAGTTAGCTGCTTCGTGACTGAGCAAATTGTTTACCCGGACTGCGTGTCGTTCTCCGTGAGCATTAAGGTACCGTCTCCTCTGGCTGTCCAGCGGCAGGTCTTCCGCCGAGTGTCCGTCTGCAGGCGGCGGTCCAGCAGACATGTTCCGGCTGATTCTCCGGTACCAACTTGCAAAAACTCCCAAGCGAAGTAACGGGAGGGGCAGCTCTGGTAGACGAACGTTACTACACAGATTTATCGGAAAAGTCAACGGCGTGCCCCCTGCTGGTTGGGAGTGTCATTACAGCTGGGTTTTATTCCGCCCCCTGCTGGCTGGGAGCGTCATTACAGCTGGGTTTTATTCCGCCCCCTGCTGGCTGGGAGCGTCATTACAGCTGGGTTTTATTCCGCCCCCTGCTGGCTGGGAGCGTCATTACAGCAGCTGTTTAATCGCACTTCTTACTGGTTGGAAGGGTCATTACAACTTCTTTTCTCTTCTTCATAAATATCCTCAAAAAATTGCAGATGATACTGCTATTGGTTTTGCCCAGTTACTCCTGAAATTATAACTACTTTATTTTTGTACTGGTTGAATATAAATATGTTCCTAAACAGTCATGTTTTTTAAATAAATTGCTACAGGTATGAAAAGCTCACCAAAAGAAGCAACAAGCTATCTCTAAGTAGCAGAATGTACTTTGTAATCTAATAAGGCAAAAACAAGTTCAAGTCAACTTTATTGTTTTTTCCACCATATGTGGTACATGAGGTAGAATGAAATTATGTACACAGGGTCCCAGTTATACCCATAAACATCAAAATATAAAGTATAAAAAGAAACAGTAAATAAAGATATACACTCAGATATAAGCTAAACAAAGGCCAAACAGTACCATAAGATCTAAGATATGGCATAACAAGAGCAGCCCAAACATGAGTCTGTCGTGAGCAGATGGGTATGAATAAATACAGCAGCATGAGATCAGCAGCATGGATAATCAGCAGCACAGCTAAGTCAGATATCACCAATTAAAGTGAAAATTAAATTAAACAGAGCCAGTAGCTGAAGCAGATGTTAAAGTGAACAATGTTTTTAAAGGAAGTGACATTATCTCAATGCATTTCAGCAGGAAAACATTTGTAAATACACTTAAAAGTGTAAAAGTTACTAAAACCACATGTCAGAGTGCATATCTCCTAAATGAGCCGAGTCAAGACTCCTGATCAAGCAGCAGGACAGATGGGGGGGGGTCAGGATCTCCTCAGGGGCCACTGCAGGTTCAGGTGGGACCTGATGTTGTGATTCGTCACTCTGTCAGCGAGGTGAAGGATTACAATCCAGCCTTTGAGTGCTGTAATCCCAGCTAATCTGGGATTCGGTTTCACTCTGCTGCACGGACAGAGCTGAGGACCGTGGAGGACTGGGAGCATGAAGACCCGGAGGACGTGTTTGAGATCTGTCTGAGAAGAGATGCTGCTGCTGGTTCTCCTCCAGGTCCTGCAGCCCGCTGTGACGGGTCAGACCTGCCCCTCTCTCTGTGTCTGCAGCCGTGGGACGACAGAGCTCAGGTGGAGTGATTTTAACTTTTATCATTTATTCCTGCTTTTCAGTCACTTTTTAAACTAAATTATTAATTATCCGTTTCCTTAGGAGCTGCACATGCATATCAACTAAAAGAAAAGCATTTAAATGTTGATTATTTCAGTGTTTTTAACAAACAGGTTTCTGGTAAAAATAAGCCTAACGAGTATAAACAAGTGAATAACAAAATGTTTGATGTCTTAATTGAAGCATATAGGCCCAGTTTGTTGCTGAATTTGGAAAAAAAATCTAATTAAACCTAAATTATATAAGGAGTAATGAACAAAACCAGATGTTCACACCTCCATCCTGCCTCCAGATGCAGCTACAGCGTTAGTTATAACCAAATTCAACATCTGCAACCTGATTCAAGATGGCCACCACAACTAATCAGCATTAGCACACTCACAAACGTCTGTAGCTCAGTCTCGGTTTAAAAACATGGAGCTAAACTCTGTGGAGTCATTTAACCCAATAACTTTGTAATGATGAGCTTTATTGTATGAATGCTGAGTCAGCTATAGCGCAATAAATAAAAAGCTGAGTCAGTGTTGTTTCTGTGTTATTTGTGCAGGTTTTATAATATATAAGTCCTATTACTTCAGTTCGTTTATTTATTAACCTTTATTTAACCAGGCAAATCGCACTGATCTGTTTTGCAAGGGAGGCTTGGACCTGAAGGCAGCCTAACATGCATGTTTCTGGTTCATTCAGGAGATGGGTGCTGCAACTTTTGCTTATTGTAATTTATTTATTTGTTTATTATTTATTAAAAATATTTAACTTTAATTTAAACTATTTCACTCATGGAAACACAGGGAGGTCTCTTCTGTTTCTCAAAAACGTTCAGTTTTCTGCAACAGATACTGGCTATGGTTTTGCCTCCTATTTTAGCTTATGACTAACCTTTTCATACTTTTAGCTTTTAGCCAACCTTTTGATACTTTTGGCTTAAAGCTAGCCTTTTGATGCTTTGAACTTTTAGCTATTCCTTTGATGCCTTTTTGCTTCAGGCTATCCTTCAGCTTTTTTTAGCTTCCAGCCAGCCTTTTGCTACTTCATCTATCTGGGCTTTTGATCATTTTAGCCACTTGCTAGCCTTGTTTAGCTTCAATAAAGCATTTTCCTACTTTTAACTTTTAGCCATTCTTTTGATGCCTTTTTGCTTCTATCCTTCAGCTTATTTTAGCTTCCAACCAGACTTTTGCTACTTTTAGCATCTATCTGGCCTTCTGATCATTTTGTACACTAGCTAGCCTTTTTTAGCTTTTGGCTAGCTTTTTGCTACTTTTAGCTTCTAACCAGCCTTTGATCATTTTAACATTAAGCTCTCATCTTGATACTTTTATTTTTTTAGCATCCAGATAACCTTTTGATGCTTTTTTTAAAAAAGTTTTTAGCTATCATTTTTATACTATTAGCTTCTAGCTCATCTTTGATACTTATTTGTTTTTTCTTTTGTTGCTTTCAGTTTCTCACTAGACTTTGGATACTTTTAGTTTCTTTTGAACCCTTTGATGCTTTTTGCTTCTAGCTGGCTTTTTGCTACTTTTAGTTTTTAGCCAAACTTTCAAGCCAGTTTTCAGTACTTTTAGCTACCCTTTTTGCTGTCCAGGTATGGATGCTGCTGAATGTCAAATGTGTTCAGCTGAAGGAAAATCCAGTAAAACAACAAAATGTATTAGTTTTGTGTGATTTACTATTTATTTTACTCACTTTAATTTAGGTAAAGCCTCGTGGGTCATTTTGACCCTAGGGCAGCAGCAGGGTTCATTAAGTGATCAAATACAAGTGGAGACCCGGGACTTTCATCCTTCACACAAGCAGGTGCAGGTTTGACTGACGTGATTCTTTTGGGTCACCTGCATCGCGTTTGGGTTTACTGCAGGTCGGTTCGGTGCAGTGACGCTGGGATGTCAGCACTTCCTGTTAATATTCCACCGGACACCGTCAAGCTGCGCCTGGAGAAGACCTTGATCTCCAGAGTGCCCCGGGCAGCCTTCTACAACCTGTCAGAGCTGTGGTTCTTATGGCTGACCTACAACTCCATCACCTCTGTCCACCCCAGCAGCTTCGTCAACCTGAAGGCCCTGCGGGAGCTGCATCTGGACGGGAACCTGCTGACCACCTTTCCCTGGGAGGGGCTCCGGGATATGCCCCGCCTCCAAACATTGGGGCTCAATAACAACCGCCTATCCAGCCTTCCAGCACATGCCGCCCTCTTCCTGCCCAACATCACCTACCTGGACCTGTCCAGCAACAGGTGGGACAAACAGGTAACATGACGCTTTCAGCAGGTAAGATACTTATGATTAACACAACTGCCCTCTCCTCAGGCTGACCATTCTACCAGCTGAGCTCCTGGATCTGTGGTTCCCACTTCCAGAACTACAGGAGGGCCCAGTTCAAAGGAAAATCCTGGGTCAGTACGATGTGAAGTGAGACAAAAAATTATCTGATAAAAAACTAAATAACAACAGCAATACATAAACATCCCAGTACTTATGAGGTAAATACTTATTATTATAAGGAGTAACATACAGGGAACTCAGTAAGTACCCTGTATGTTTCTCAGTAAATACCCTGTATGTATTTCAGTATGTACCCTGTATGCTATTCAGTAAGTAGCCCCCTGTTGAAATATTAAATATCTGATGAAGTACTTCACAAATTTTAATGAAAATCTCATAAAGTATTTTGGGGATAAACGTACAATTGATTACCTTTTGAAACCAATCTCATTCAAGATGGCTGCCACAAACAATCATAGAAAATACCAAATAACACATGAATCATCCAAAAAAGTTCAATCTGGTCCTCTGGACAT